CCCGCGCTCCCCCGCAGCCCCGGCTCGGGCCGGCTCGGACCTCCGTCCCCCTGGATTTGTGGATGCCCCGATGAGAGATCCAGCGTTCCCGGGGACTGCCATGGCTTACCACCCTTTCCACGCGCCCAGACCGGCCGATTTCCCCATGTCCGCCTTCCTAGCCGCCGCCCAGCCCTCCTTCTTCCCGGCCCTGGCGCTGCCTCCCCCCGCCCTGGCTAAGCCCATGCCGGACCCGAGCTTGGCGGGGGCGGCCGAGGCCGGGCTGCACGTTACGGCCCTGGGGCACCATCACCAGGCGGCCCATCTGCGGTCCCTCAAGAGCCTGGAGCCCGAGGAGGAGGTCGAGGACGACCCCAAAGTGACTCTGGAAGCCAAGGAGCTGTGGGACCAGTTCCACAAGCTGGGCACCGAGATGGTGATCACCAAGTCCGGCAGGTAGGACCCGATCCGCCCCCGCCGCCCGGGCGCCCGCGCCCCGCCGCCGGCTGCTGGAGTCGGGGCCACTGATTGAAGCCCGGCGGCTTTTCCCTTCTCAGCCTTGATTTATGATGCTGGTCCCCTCGGGTGGGGGGAGCTGCCCGCCCATGCGACCCTCCTCGCAGGGGTTCAGGGCGCTCCGGCCGACCCGCACGTCGGGCAGCCTCGGGCTGCGGATCTCCGTGTCTGGTGGAAAAAAATTGCATTTTTTTGTGGGGCGGGGGAAGGTTGGTTTGGTTTTCTTTTTATTTTCTTTTAAAAGGAGCGAGATCCCAGATGAAATGAGCCCGGGGTCGATGCAGCCCCGAGGTGTTTATTTGAATTTCCCCGCAAACTTCTCGTTTGGGGCCAGGCTTTTCTGCCCCAGCACAGGAGCGGGCTCCCCCGGGCTGCAAACCCGCTTCCCCGCGGCTCGTGCAAAACCACCCCAAACAGCCGCCTGCACTTGGGAGCAAATCCCCGCAAGAGCCCAGGGGTTTGGGGTTGTTTTTTTGTTTTGTTGTTTTCCCTCTCCCCCTCCTCCGCCTTCCCTGCCCCGCGTTACAGCCCGTTTCTCCTTGATTTCCCAGTCGCTCTGGTCCTGGAGGCCGCACGATCTGCCTCCGGGCTTGGGGTTGGGGGGTTTTTTTCCCCTCTCGAGAAGGATGATCCATTTCTTCGGGGAGAAATTCGTTTCTTTCCTTTCAAAAAAATAATTTAAGAGCAAGAAAAATGCTTTCCACCAGGATCCCGCCTAGGTTGGGGTGGGGGAGTTGTTTGGGGTTTTTTGCGGGGTTTTGGGGGGTTTGTTTTTATTGTTGTTTTTTTAATCTCTGCCCCATTTCCCGAGGAACCGGCCTCGGGATTTTAACCTTTCGCTCCTTTTCCAGCCCGCTGACGAAGCCCAGCAGAGGCGGTGGGGGGCGGGTAGAGCAGCCTCTTGATTTTTTGCGGGGTGTCGGGGCCGGCTCCCGGAGCCCCGCACCGTCGGGGCCCCTCCAGGCGCGGGGCTGCTGGCTTTCCCGGGAGACCTCTGCCTCCAAACGACCCCCGGGGCTTTCCTGATCCCTTTTTCACATCCCCCCCTCCCAGGAGGATGTTCCCCCCGTTCAAAGTGCGGGTGAGCGGCCTGGACAAGAAGGCCAAGTACATCCTGCTCATGGACATCGTGGCGGCCGACGATTGCCGCTACAAGTTCCACAACTCGCGCTGGATGGTGGCCGGCAAAGCGGACCCCGAGATGCCCAAGCGCATGTACATCCACCCGGACAGCCCGGCCACGGGCGAGCAGTGGATGGCCAAGCCCGTGGCCTTCCACAAGCTCAAGCTCACCAACAACATCTCGGACAAGCACGGCTTTGTAAGTAGGGCGGCGGGCCCCAGCACCCTTCCCCAGCCCGGACCTGCTCCCCAAGCCCGGCCCGGAGACCCAGCGAGGGGCACAGCCCTGGAGGGAAGAGGTGCAGGGGGGTGGTCCTGGGGCATCGATGTGCCTCCCCCTTGTAGGAGAAGGCCCAAGGTCTCCCGCTCACCAACAACATCTCGGACAAGCACGGCTTTGTAAGTAGGGCGGCGGGCCCCAGCACCCTTCCCCAGCCCGGACCTGCTCCCCAAGCCCGGCCCGGAGACCCAGCGAGGGGCACAGCCCTGGAGGGAAGAGGTGCAGGGGGGTGGTCCTGGGGCATCGATGTGCCTCCCCCTTGTAGGAGAAGGCCCAAGGTCTCCCCTGCTGCACCAGGCCGGGGCTGAATGGCCCAGTGTCTAATCCCGGGGACGACCCGGAGGGGCTCGCCCCCCCCCCCCCCCCGCGGGGGCCGGCGCTCCTCT